CAATTAAAAGGAATATATTGATTATTCATGCCGAGGTTAAGTGAAAGTCGGTTTAATAATACTTGACTCGCTATCTATAAAGTTTACCACTACCAAATGATTACAGAATATAAAGAAGGGAAGAAACCGAGATTAGAGACACCATAAGTCTAAAATGGTGTTTGTCATAATATTGTCTTCGCATGTTATTTCAATTGAATCTGTATTCATTATGACAGTAGAATTATTAAATTACAATATCACCCTCTTAGGTGATAAGGGTAACACGAGGTAGTTACGAAACCTTTTAAGTACCAAACTACATCTACTGTATGACCCATATTGAATAAGAGCTCACAAATATTAAGCAGTGAACATTGTGAGTTACGCCTTTCTCATTTAATCGTCATTTACTTATTTCTGTACAAAGGCGCTCATAGCACAATTGTTAAACGCCTGCGATGCACGTAGCAACTATTATGGTTCGATCCTGGGTCGTAAGGGAGGATTGAATACACAATGCACTGACTTGATAGATCGATAGAGCAACGAAAGTACATTAAAAAGGCCATCTATGCCCGGGGTCACCTCTACGATAATATGAATGGAGCTGAATGCACAACGCATCCATAAGGAATAGATCAACATCGATATCCTTATTCTTTTTTTTCTGATTCTAGAAACGTCACTGTCAGTGGCTTCCTTCATATTAGAGTAAGCATTTGAACAAATCATTCAAGAAATGAGACGTTTCTACAGAAACGAACAGCTATCGGTTTCAACCACAAAAGTCAAATAACCGATTTCAAAAACTTCTCCAGAATTATAAAGATATTTTAAATAAGGTCTAAAGACAATACGCAATTAGAAATACAGAGCTTGGACATTCGAAACGAACTGAGGGATTAATGTAAACAATAATCCGATCGATTGTTTATAAGAGGATTCAACACACGATCCAGTTCTAGAACGATTACATGCTGAGAGGCGATTCGTTTGTTAACTTATAGAGAAGTAAAGAGCACAAGATGTACCACTCTAAATAAGTTGCTCAACTAATCTCAGGATTCACTGCCGTTCTGAAAGGATTTTAATAGTAAGGCAACAAATGTCTCCCTTATCCACAAGTGCAGGCAACTGCATTTTGGTGACGACTTTGGAACGCCCTAGTATAGCTATCCTGGGTTACACATAAAACCATGTTTAATCATTATTGAATATGTTAATTACGAAGACAGACGATAAATCTCTAGCATTAGCTGGACCTAGACATAAACCGACCAATTTAATGGATGACAGTTACGTGATGAAGAAGCAAATGAAAGATTGTTGAGCCTGCTGGACATCTAAGTAACTAGGGCGACACCATCGCATAACGTTCAGTATCTCTGGAAGATGATTTCACGGCTGCTAAATGTCCTTAATGCTGACTATGTACTCCCATGGTATATAATGCACTCAGTACTAAATGGTGACAACGGCGGTTCTGCAAATCTGAAGAAAGCGAACAGTCGACAGATCTACTTCGCCGCCATACTTCATTGCGTAATAAAGACTATGCTGTAGGAATAACATACCAGATCCAACGAATCTAACGCTGTAAACACAGGCGAAGGATTAACATTAAGTCAGTCAAGTTCTGGTGGCAGAGTACAGATTAGTTGCGGTCACGACCAGAGATCTCTACGCAACGACTCACATCACAGTCCACCAATACACATCAAACCCCGCCCACATCCAGAATATTAACACGCGGTCAACTTGCCTCATTATTCAAACAAAGCTCTGCACAAACTACATTGTCCTACATACGATCCATACATCAGTGACAGTGAATACGTTAAATGTATATATATATACGCATATATATATATCAATAGTTTGTAAACCGACTTCCACTTAGCCTGGTAACAAATGTCATTTTTTTTTCATTGATGGGCTAAAACGAGGTTGGCAGAAAACTTTTGTTCTGCTAAAGTTTTTGTGCCTTCGAGCTGCAACGTGACAAGAACTCTGATTCAAAACGGCGGCGATTTCATGGGGAAATGACCCAGAAACGCTTGAGGCCAACTACCTCAGCGATAAAGGGAGATGGAACGGCTCAATCGACAATTACTAGGGTTCGTACAGTGCGTAAAGACGAGCGATCTATGCACCTAAGTAACTGGATATTACTTTTAAAGGGGACAATCCTACTGAAATAAAAGCGTAGCGCAGACTCATTCAGTCCGGTTTCAACAAAAAAGGCAAGTGCTCTGTGATAGAAGGCTAATCTATGAAAAAGTCAGAGTATCTCTAGCACTTTTGAACATCTGCACAATAGGGGCACTTCACTCTTTCTTATTCACTACACAGCCCGTTATTCCACATTACTTTTTTTTTGCTTAGGAAAGCAATATAGGGTATGATAAGCCGAAAAAATTTAAGTCATTACTTCAATAGCAGATCAGCACTGAACTGCCAGTTATCATGCTATGGTTGGTAAAAAAGGCTAGAAATGCTGCGATTCTCAATTAACACTCCACACCTTGCTCTATCTCTTCTTCACTTCACATAACATCCCTTTTTTTGTGAGCGAAAGAAATATTTGGACATAAATGTCTTCCGAAACGATTACGCTAAAGTATCGATAGCAAAGCCGCACAGAGTCAGTCACCTTAACAACTGTGGTCAAAGTCCGTTTCTTCCTATGTTCTCGACCTTTCTGTGATTAACAATTTGGATACTTGGATACTTGGCCGGTCCGCCTTCACGAGCTGTGCGTACCCCAGCACACATGCCATTCGTTCCTTTCTCTCGCCATTGCAGTCCATGATAGTGGTCTTGTTCGAGCATGGTAGCGCTTGTGAGTCTCATACCGTGATCTGCAAAACTACTGCAGCTGCGGGTACAAGTGATTAACTTTGTTTACGAACACGTCCGCCCAAGGTGTAGGTGGTCATCCAAGAGGTCGTTCGCATTCTCTTAGAGTCCACTCTACTGTTCTTTTTGTCTATCTGTCGTGGACTCCTCTCATTATGTAACCGGCCCATCTATGTTCCGCTCTCCATGTATATTCTCCTAGATCTCGAAGATGTGACAGATTTCGAAGGTCAGAGCTTCGCATTACGGCTACATATAGTGCTGGTTATATTTCAGAATACATCGCTCAAGCGCTCTGTGAGTAGTTCGAAGCATTTTTAATGTAGTTGAAGTATCAACCCACGTCTCTGCAGCATAGCAGAGCGCTGGGAGAACCGTAGAATCAAAGAGATGAGCGCGGATTTTCGGGTCCTTCGGCTGGTCGGTGGCTTCTTTCAGAGGCCCCCAAGGAGGCCCAAGCTGCTCTCTTTCTTCTAACTAGTTACTGCTTCATGTTGTTTTCCATGTTCATTGAACGTCCAAGGTAAACGTACGAGGTGGTCTCTGCAATTAGAGCCATCCAATTCAATTTTTTCGCCTTCGCACCATAGGTTTTCAGGAACTGGGTCTTCTTTCGATTTACGCGAAGTCCGATCTTTTTCCCCGCTTCGCTGAGCTCATTGATCATCAATTCTGCTTCGCCAGTACTTCTTGAGATGATAATGTCGTCGGCAAAACGAAGGTTTGATAGGAATTTTCCATCAATACGTATGCCTTTCTCATCCTAATCGAGTGACTGCATTATCCACTGCAGTGCGGCACTGAACAGCTGTGCCAATATTGTGTCGCGCCGTCGAACCCATTTTCCTGTGGGTTTTGTAAGAGGTCGATGGAAAAGCTGTATTTTCGTAGTGCAGTTCCGATAACAATCGGACAGNTCGGACAGAGTCCTTATGTAGGACGGGTACACTCCTTGGTCGACGAGCGCTAATAGGATTGAATTCGTTTCGACACTGTCAAACGATTTCTCACAGTCGACAAAGGTTAAGACTAGAGGCAAGTGGTATTCCCGACAAAGTTCGATGACCCTGGAGACGGTCTGAATGTGGTCCATGTGGCAAAATCCTTTTCGAAATCCTGCTTGCTCGACTGGTTGCGCCTCATCCAATGTCCTCGATATGTGCGAGAGGATACTCATCGTGAAGAGCTTATAGAGTACACTTAACAAGCACATGGGGCGATAGTTACGAAGATCCGTTCGGTCTCTTTTCTTCGGCTGGTTGACCGTGAGCGACGTCCTCCACTGGTCTGGGATTTTTTCTTTTTGAAGGTAGATTGTCATGTGATCTGCGAGAAATAGATATAAATTGTGGTCTCCAGCTCTAAAGAAATCGGCAGTGATATTATCGGGTCTTAGAACTGTGCTTCCTTTATTGTTTTCTATGGCAACTCGAACCTCCGACGGAAGAATTCCAGTTGGCTTTTCTCCAGCGGGGATATTAGAGCTCGGGACGGGGATTGTGGAACGGAAAAGGTTGGTGTAGAACGTTTCCGCTATTAATTCCATACCATGGCGAGAAGTTTTGACGATCCCATCTTTGCAAAACTCTGGACCGCAGGTGTCTATGGTGGGGAACGAGCGCGCTATTATCCTTTCCGGGGAGTAACGCGTTCACCACCACACCATGCGGGTCCTTTGTTTCGCACGTCTCTCAGCTATTTCTATCGATCTTTTTGCCACAGCAATCACCCGTCAGCGGGGTTGATCTGGGGAGCACAAATCGGCATAGAACAGAGTTTTGCAAATATCTCAGCAACGTTGTGGTTGTATTTCGCTTAGTAACCTGCCATGAAAATTATAGAAGGCAGAAAACAAAACGTTAAACATTGTGATCCCATCTTTGTTCATCGGGGTTGACAGTGGAACATTATAATCACACAAGCCCCGACACCAGTGCAGAATGACGGGACTAATGATGTTTCAAGTAGGCACCATCTTCTGTTCGTCAGAATATGGTCGATCTCCGCATGAGTCATACCGTTGGGATACTCCCATGTCCAGCGGCGGCTTCTTTCTTCTGGAAAAACGAGTTTCCATGGAGAAAACGTGCTGTTGACAGGAGTCCTGCGAGACGGTTCCCATTCTCATTTCTTTCTCCAAATCCAAAATTTCCGATCCTCTATTCGCTCTCGTTGGCCTTTCCTGTTCTGGCCTTGAAGTCTCCAACAACAAATTTATGACATGCTTTACCATTGCGGATAACTTCCTCCAACTGATAGTAGAACGCATTTAATTCGTACTCATCAGCTGTGTCGGTCGTTGAGTAGTAGTTGATGCTAGTGATCTTCTTATGACGCGACAGTTGAACACGGAAGACGGCTATACGAGGGGAAAGAATCACATATGAGTCGACGAGAAGGACAATCGACGGGTGGACGACAAAGCATACGCCCCCGACATTTCGTGACGGAACTTTTCTCCACGGATCACAAGGGTCCCGTTGCTTAGTTGGCGTATGTCGGTCTTCTTGATTTTTGTTTCTTGTAATGCGATCACATGAAATTTAACGCGATCTACGGCTACAAGAAAGGCGTGAATATCGACGTCTGTGGAGAGTGTTCTGGCACTATATATGCGTAGTAAAAAACAATCTCCACGGCGTGTCGAGCGCGTATTCTTCAGAACCGGTTCCAATGACGCCCTGTGTAACCCGAAATTTTCTGACCTCTCACCGGCCGTCTCACCGCCTAACATCATAGACGGGAGCACCCAGTGTGCATGATACTGAGGCTGGCCTATTGCTAGTCGTGCAACTTGGTCCTCCCTTGAGTCCTGACGTAACCTTGCAAGCGCGTATCCAGGTCTTCACCACGATGTGGATCAGAGGGAAGTGTGTGTGTATCCAGAGATCAGAAGAAGGTAACGAATCCTTCGCTCGGTCTTCCTCCTAGTTGATTCGGAGAGATGTTAAAACCGAAATCAGAAACGAAAGTAGGAATGTAAAAGAAACCGACCGCTCAAGGACGATGTAGAAGTCAAGAGTTCAGTTTAGCCAAGAGTGCAATTACGTTAAAGTATCGACAGCAAAGCTGCACAGTTTCAGTCACAACAAATATGATCAAAGTCCGTTTCTTGCTATGTTCTGGACCTTTCTGTGATTAACAACAGTAAAACAAAACATCAGTTTGAGCAAAAAAAGAAAATAAATATAAATATGCAGAAATATTCAAATCAGAAATTGATTGGCAGTGGAAACTAGGAAAAAAATCGTTCCTATGTCTCACAGTGGTCATTCGACCATTTATCGAGTCACGTCTAGCGGCGTGGTACGACCGCGTACCTCGCAAACAATAGCTTAACTCCTCTAAATCTTGTACCGCTATACCAAACAAATCTGCAATTCATTTTTTGCTCTACTCCACCAACATGAGGACTTCTTAGCACCTCATATCCATACTTATCAAACAACAAAAAGATATTGTCTCCCAACTCCACCAAATCCTCTAGTGTCACATGTTTAGAGGAACAGTTTTCCTTTAGAACTATGATACCAACTGGTCCTCCTGGTCCTCAACAGATCCTGATAGCATATGTGGCGGTATAAGAACAGATTGCGACCATTTAACCGAACCTCCTTTGTGTGACGAAATCGGATCGGCTAATCGTGTAGATATATGGAGAGTCCCGAGAGGACGAATAACGAGCTAAAAGGGAGCAAAACCTACTATGCGCCTATCGTACCGGATTCTTTCGTATCTTCTGTATAAAAAGAATGTAAAGGAAGAGGAAAAAATTAAGAAAGCTGGAATATTTTTCACTAAAGAAAGGAATTATTAACTGAAAAACACAGAAAGCGAGATCCTTGCTCTGTGTAGTATCGCACCGCAACAGGTCAAAAAAGTACAACTTGCACTATTTCTGTGTCCGCCACTAACCAGCCGATATCCCATTTTTTACTAAAGATCTTGTAAAAAGAAGATCATTATTACGCTAATGGACATGCCTTAACATAAATATAAGAGTGAATCAATCCCTTTGACAGGTGATTGCTGATGACAGTGATTGATAGAACTGGATGACAGGCGAAACGAAGGACCGGCATGGTGTGGTGGTGAACGCGTTAACCTCCACAAAGGGTAATAGTGCGTTCGTTCACCATCACAGACACCTGCGATCCAGAGTTTTGCAAATATCTCAGCATCATTATAATTATGAGAGGATTACCTCCTTAAAACTGACGAATAAGATACAGCGAATAGTTTAGAATCGATCAAAGTGCTTTCATCTGTAAATTCTACCCACCCGATCCATGAATTAATTTCATTCACACTGACTCGCATTTCTCCGCAGAATATCGCAATCTTCGTTTATACTCTTCTAAGCTTTTATTTACTCACGCAACTCAAAATATTCCCGATCGAACTAAGTCTCTAACTCGATGTTGTAACGTAGCAATGAATTTTGTGATTCATTTAAGTCGTTCCAGAAGTGTTTTAACGTCACGGACTGAAGATGCGTTGTAGAAAGAACGTTATATTAAGGGTGACCCAAATCCATGCAGTCATTAAAGGTTGAATCAAGACAAAACAGCTAAAACAATAACTTGTACACAAAATTCACATAATCTGTAAAAGATCAAACGATAAAGTGCTTGGTGATTAACAATTCCTCAGATGTTTGCCATCAGCCAAGTGAATTAAAATATCCTAGAGTTGACTGAATGCATAAGTGGTCTACATAATGGCTTGCGGGAAGCAGTCGATGGATCAAGTCAGTATTCCCACCTTCTCAGTACGATACCAATTTGCAGAGCTCAAAGGAATGACGGAGGTTACTCGGTTCGTCTATGAAGCGCGATCGAACCAGCGACCACTCCTCTGCTACAAAACACTTCTCACAACTATTCTTAAAAATTGATGATCAATTAAGCTTCGCATGAATAAATAATATTTTCCGGATTACTAAGTCGATGCGAGGTGGTTATAAAACATTTACTCAGCTAGCGTTTCAGTGAACTCGCTTTTTTCACAGTCGCAATGATTCGAGTCAATTATCTATAGTTCTTCGTTCTTGCTGTATGGGTCCTCGTCGCACTGAATCAAGTCTTCTGGAGTGGGAGATCGCTCCTACGTGCTATAACAACCTTGTTTTAGATTAATAATCACAGAAAATACTTCTTTGACCTTATCTATAAGATACATAAATTTCTACCTAATCTTTCACCCCCAAAAGCTCATTTTACACTTTAAGCATTTTACAAAGTATTTTGGCACCAGGTATAATATTATGTGGTATAACTAATATTAATACTATTTTGTTTTGTAATATATATGTGTATGTATGTGTATATAATGCTAAATAGGCCCGGCTAGCGCAGTGGTGGTAATGGTGCCATTCATCACAAGCACGGTGAGTTCGCCCTCGGCACGAGCTCACGAAGTCTCTCGCTACTTCGGGATCGGAAAGTTGGTATCAGGCGTGTCTTCGTTCACACTCACTCCCTCAAATCCACGCAGCAACGCTCTACGACGGTTATCGTATGAGTCGAGAGAGAATTGACTCGAGCAGAATCCAACGACATTTATAAGGGAGACAACGATCTTCAAGTAACAACCAGACCCACACGTGAAAAATTCGAAGACCTTCGCGGATGGTGGATTTGAGGAAAGGAATGGAATGGTAGAAGTACTAGGATCCATACAGTATATGTGAAGATGGGCCAAGCAAATTAAAATAAAGAAAAAAATGGCAACACTATATTGGTCGTACATTGTTCAGATAAATTTTTGTACTACTATAATCAATATAATTTCTTGTAAACGCGATCGACACCACCAGTGATTTGAAGCGGAATCACGATGACAAGTTACTAAGTAAATGCCTGACGACGTGGACTTGGATCGCTTTGGATTGGAGCGAGCGACGCCTAACAACGAGCTCGTAAAATGTTCGTTTCACTTTTTTATCTTCCAATTTACTATCTGTTATATAAGATGTCAGTGATCTCAGAAAGATCAATAATTATCTGAACTAATAAGTAATCACTGATTGCTAAAAAAGGGGAACAATATGGAATGTGGAAGTTTTAGCATTAATTAGGCTACATTCTCTAGAAAGTCTAAGAAATCGAAAATGCGAAAAGAAATCGAGAAAAACACTAGACTGTCACAAACTGATAGCAGAAAGCACGATGGTTAGAAATTAAGCACAATAGACGCATATTCGATGATTTTAGTCAACTTCTTGCTAACCAGGCCTCCGCTCCCCTCGGCGGAGTGGGCACATTGATACCAAGATTGTTCTGAACGGGACCTTTTAATCAACAAAGGCGTACGATCGCCTGCAGTGCAAACGTTGGAAGGCTCTAGTAAAACCATCACTTGATTCCAGGAAGAATGTATTCCAAAGCATTCAAGAATGTTCATAAAAAGTATTGATAATCCTTAAGCGATAGTCGGACCCAGATACGAACCGGGAAACCTTTTCCGGACCACGGTTACTAGGCAAAAGAAGGAGTGAGCAAACTGCTTGGATCCTCACAAACTATGAAGTCTGGTGATATAAACAAAAGGAATAAACAAACGAAAAACGATACGTCATAAAGTGTGCTTACACATCTGAAATAACAATAAGCACGATTTGAATTCAATTCATAAGGAAGTGGATGATGCCAACGAAACATCACAAAAATGGCTAGACTTAACCGAATTGGGACAAAAAAGATTTGAAAAAAATACAAATTGTTCGATCATTTCCTTTTAGAAAAATTACAGTAAAGAGATCTAATTTACCTCAACTCATCAGCTTTTCCTGAAAAATCCAGTAGATCACGAAGGCTACCAAAATGATGGTTCAATTCACAATATTCATTTTGTAGTGCTATTTATAAATTTTAGGACAATCTCCGTCAACCATTAAAAATGAACGAAATTTCCTTAACAAAAACCGACGAAAAGCATAATCTATTTGCTCGTGAACCATAAAAAAAATTAATGATCCTTATTTATTGCTTTGTTGCATCCTTCTGACTTGCACAATTTAGAATGGATATGTTTGAAGCGAATTAAAAGAATAGGTATTGATTTCCTATCATTATTACATGGATGTACAGCTTACTTATTGTTGACATACAGTCAACTTTCGGCCGGACATCTATGCTTAAGCTCCATTGATAAGCGCTGAAGAGTTAACAAAATGGAACGCAAAAAAAAGAAACTAAAGAAACAGATATTAACCCCGAACTGAATACATGTAATGCGATTGAAGTAAAACACGATATCCACGCCATTCCCAATCAACAGAGGTAACGAACAAGCAGCCATTCGAAACTGAGATAGCAATGAACCGAAATATAAACCGACTGTGAAAAGGTTAAACAACGTTTTCATAGATCACCGATACTTTCTCAATCGTTTACCGTCACTCGTCTTAGCTGGTGGCTACCCCGGATTTTCAATTACACTGAATAACAAGCGTTGATTCATCAGTATGACCTCCCAAGCAGAGAAAGAAACTAACTTTTTCATTCCTCTGAAAGGTTAGGTGAGAGTAAATCAAAACTACAAATCACCATCGTCGTGGTAGCAACTTAATCGCAAGATGGTAAAACGCCATCCGATCCACTGGTGATGGCGACAACCTATGCTGACGATTTGGAAGATCTCTTATACGGCTACTTGATGACTCCGAGAAAAGGAAATTTTGACGAAACAGCAAATTACTAGCCAACTGGAAATTGTGGTGCCGATTCATGACGA